GTTAGTTAGTTAGTTTCAAACATGTATACAAAACCAAAAATGATAAAAAGTGAAAACAAAATTAACAAAATTAACATATTTGAAAAGGAATGGGAAGAAGTCAAAAAACTTATTTAATAAGTTTTTTTGACTTTACTTAGTTTTAGTTTTTTTTACTTAGTCAGATTGTCTACTAGTGTTGTAAAAACAAGTTAACTGTGAAGATTGTATCAGTTTGACAGAGTAATCTTGTTTCATGCTTTTACCATAAACACCTAGGAAAATTTAAGAGTTAGGATGTCTGGGACAGAAATCCATCTTATGAGACTGTCTGAACCACAACAAAAACAAATCTCCAGCTGTCAGTCCTTCAGTCCATTGTTTATATTAAAATAAACATTTCTTATARGGGTGTCCCAATACAGCKTTTTCTCTTCCAGTAAAATACCGATATTGCAGCCTTGAGTATCTGCCGATACCGACACAGATATCAATACGATTTCAGAACCAACCCAACATACTTATATTACTCATTTTGTAGTGTGGAATCTTAAAAAATCTTGTTCAAATCAAACAGTTAACGAAAGTCAACAACAGCAGAAAAACTAACCCATTTATTATAAACCAATGGGTTACACATTTTTTTTACTTAAAGATAAGAACATTCTACAATAAAATAAATACATAACCCATATGGACCACTGGAATAGACTGCTTATATTGGAGTGCTTATATTGGTGATTGTAGTTGCAGGCTGATAAAATCCGATACTCATTTTTGATTAATATTGGTCCAATATCTGATATTGATATCAGATTGGGACATCCCTAATTTCTTAGTGGTTGATGCAAATACCATCATTTTTTAAACCTTTACACCTTTGTCGGTTTTAGGGGTGCATGATATATTGGCATTAATATCGGTATCGGCCGACATTCGTCATTTTTTAGAATATCGTTTCGGTCCGATATGTAAAACTGGGCCGATATTAACGTCCGATATTGATTTCCCACTTTTTATCTTTGTGTTTCTGTTTTGGGAGGGGAGATGGTTGGTCAAGTGGCATCTGTTTGATCATGATAGTGAAATTCTTGTTGCGCAGCCAGGAATAACTGAAGTAGAGCCATGTCAGAGGTCTGGTCGTTTATTTACAGTATCAAAAAAGACCCAAGTGTGCTTGTGCGTGTATGTATAATTTMATTTGTGTGTTGTGTAATATTAGTTAATATTGGTTATCGGCCATAACAGCAACAATTATATCGTATCGAAATCGGCTGAAATTTCCATATTGGTGCATCACTTGGCAGTTTCACATTATGTAGTTATTCCAGAAGAAATGCTACGATTATCCTGCCAAAGCTGGCTGCTGCTTTCAATATTCACACTGTGAAATGTTTGAAAGGTGAATAATGGTGTATTGCAGGGGTGCCCAAACATTTAGTCACATGGGCCCAAATCATAAAGTCAGAAGGACTTGAGGGCCAAGAATATTTTTCCTTTACTTGCTCAACAATAAACTAAGCATTGAATACTTAAAACAAATAAAGTAGTCAGATTTATTGCTAGAAATGGATCTTAAATTAATCCAGATCCATTTCTTTAAAAGTGTTTTGCAGGTTTCCCTTATTGAAAGAAATTTTGCAGTTTTCTAGGTTTCAATTGGGGGAAAAATACAATGTAGTCAGTTCTGATCAATTAAATCAGGATTTAGGTCACTCTTTTGTTGGAAATGCTTGTCGTGTTCAGACAAATTTAATAAATTAATAAAAGCAGATTGGAGGGCAACAAAATCAGCTTTTCAGTAGACGTCACTAGATGTGAAAAAAGCTAAGAGCCTGGTTATTTAAAGACAAATAATTGGTATTGTTGCCAATATTTTTTTATTATAAGRTTTGTGATAAATTTGCCCTAATAATAARTAGAAAGTCTCCATCTCCATCAAGCACCTGTGCYGGGGCGACAAATTTGTAAACTAATTAGTATAATTCTTGAACTGAAATCAGGGGCCACACAAAATCAGTTCAGAGGTCACAAATGGCCCCCGGGCCACACTTTGGACACCCTTGGTGTATTGTGAAAATAATGATGTAAAGAAATACAAAATAGAAACTGAGTGAACCACTAAGAACTTGTTCAAAGAACGATCAACAACAACAAGCTTTTGGTCCAGTTTTGAGCAGGTAACTATTAAAATCTGTTGGTGAGTGGGAAACTGGAGCTTTATGTTCAGATTGATAAAGTTTCTTTTATCGTACTTGTGACCAAACTGAACACCGGAACATGATTCTTAAAAGTCATACCTTCTTGCAAATCTGGTAGTAGTGTGGGCACCAAACCTTTGATCACTCAGGTAAAAGTAGGGATAAAAGGATCTTCCATTCTCCTCCTCTCTTGGTTTCCATGGAGACAACACCCACAGTGACTTCAGCCTCAATACAAGTCTGCATCACGACGCTCTCCTTCCTCTCGTAATATTCTCTTACAATTTTCTCCCCGCTCCGACAACTAAAAGTCACATCTTCTCACTTTAAAGGTGCGTCTCTGTGCATCTTAAAGCCGTGCGAGTCCATCAGCGCCACGGTTTCCKCCCCCCTGCAGCCCGTACCAGAGTTTCCCATGGTTCCCTTCAACAGCAGCCTTTTCACAGACAGAAGAAGAGTTCATTATCGGGGTCCTAACTCCACTAACAATGTGCTTTATGAGAAACATTTACCCAGACGCGCACTCAYGCAAACGGATGCGTCGAACCCACAAGTCAGTCCAACAGCAACAGGCTTTCATTGTTGCCATCGTATTTAAAAAACACGGAGTCATAACAGCATTAGCAGAGGGCCGCACTGTGCGCCTGGTTCTCATTTCCACCACACACGCACACGCACGCAGACACACACAGTTGAAAGCACACAGTTCAGACTCTCGCAGAGGGAATGGGAGCTAGCRGGCTAATGGCAGTGGGTCTGTGGTTAGCGCTGCTTGAAATGTTCAGAAGCTCGGTGTGCGAGGAGACACGATGCCCAGGTCTCTGTCTCCTCTGGTGACATGTGTCAGGCTCGCCTGCCACATGTCACCAACAGTTTATGGAAACCCTGCAGATGCTATTGAATTTTTTTTTTTTTCCTTTTGAGGGGTGGGTTTTTAAGGTGCAACATGAGCACTAAAAAGAAAATCAGTACACCCATAATGGCAAGCATGCATGCGGTATAAAACAGTAAATAGCCCTGCATGTGTCCAGTCCAATGAGAACTTATAAATCTGACAGCTTTGTTTTCTTAACCTCCAGTGGATTCGGGTGAAGTGGCCATATTTATGTGGCTATTGTGGTCCATGTCATATTGTTCCCATTTCCCAAAAAATCAAAAGGAAGAACCAAAATTTGAGTCACAAAATACAAAAAAAAAAAAATCCTGCTTCAGGAAACTCACCATAAGACGGCGTTGCTTGCACGTACTTGTTTGAAAATTAAAGCAAATTACTTCTAAAAAAAATCTCCAGGTTCTCGAGGGGCAACTTTTTCTTTTTCTTTTTTTTTTTTTTTGTTACTAAATCTGGTTATGAAGTTCTTAAAAGTCTCAGTCATTCAATTGAAGGTTTTATAGATTTTAATTTGTTCCATTCAGAACTCGTGTGTTGATTCCCCTTATTTCTAAAGTTTCTTCAGAGTTCTGATCCGTCTTACCAGCTCCTTTTCTAAAGCTGCTGCGTTTTTATCCACTCAGTGTTACATCTAAACCTTTGATTTACTTAATTACATTTGAAGTTTACAATATGCAATCATGCTATTTTGTTTAAAAGACATATTTTAAATAGCTTCTTAAATTTAATGTAGAAGTAGCCTTTACCTTTAGTAACTTTTTTTGTGTGTGTGTGTGTTTTGCGCAGCACCTTTTTTCCCCCTTTTTAAAAAAAAAAGAAACTTATTTTAGCTCTGGTTTCATGTCCAAAGGTGCAAACTGCTTTGATTGTCTATTTTTTGCCACTCCTAGGTGCCAACAGCCAGCGTGACCATTGAGGGTGCTTCAGCTCTGAACCGGGTCCGCTGGTCATCAGGAGGGAAGGAGGTGGCTGTGGGCGACTCAGAGGGCAGAGTTTGGATCTACGATACGGCAGAGGTATAAAAAAAATAATTTTACTGCCTAAATAAAACACAGCTTTCAAACAACACGTGATCTAAAAAGTGCCGATCCAAATAACATCTTGAAACTGTTTTCAACATATTTGTAATATTTATGCAGTCTATTTTGGTTAAATAAAACTATGTGAAGGCATAATTGCTGGATTCTCAATGATCCATGGAGCTGCAGKTTCTTGTAGGTTCAGCTTTCAAACAATCACAACTTAATTACAACTTAGGTGTAAAAAGCAACGGTTGCCCTGTTTCTGTGTAGTTGCACCACAACAGATTGAGGGTTTTTTTTTTTTTTTGCTGAAATATGACTAGTTTTGCTGAATAAACAGTTCATCAGGGATGCTGCACTGTCTTTTTCCTACAAAAGAAAAATGTAATATTTTATCCACAAAACTGAGCTTCAGATTTTAAGTTTTGTGTCAATTTCTCGAAACTCTCCACATAAAACTCAACTAGTTTTAAATCTTTTAGTTCTTTATGTTTGGAAAAAAACTGTCTGCATGTATTTATCCATTTATTTTTAGGTGAGCGGACAGATGTTGGGTGTGTGGTCCTGTGTTTTCTTGGTGAATATTTAATGTACTTCTAATCTCTATTTCAATCTTTCTAATTACTTCTCTTTATTTCTCTATTATCTCTTTACTTAAAAAAAATCACTGAAATTAAGAAACTAATATTAAGTTCTTTTTTCTACTG